TTTCCCTCCTTCTCTTCTCTCTTTCCTACGTTCTCTCCTTTTCCTCGTTCCCTCCTTTCTTTCTTTCCTTCTTTCTTTCTCTTTCTTTTCCTCTTTCCTTCCTTCTTTCCTTCTCTTTCTTTCACTGTTTCCTTCCTTCATTCCTTCTCTCTACTTTTTCTCTCTCTCTCTCTTTCCTTCCTTCTTTCCTCCTTCTGCAGCCCAACTCTAGTGAGAAGGGGTTTAAACTTTAAACCCCTTCTCTCTTCGCTCCCCCCCCCCCGACTTGGGAAGGGAAGGGGAGGCTTTTGAAGATGCCTCCCCCCCCTTTTGCTTCCCCTTCTGACATCACTTCCGGTGATGTCAGGGGGCGTTGCATATGCTAATGAACTATTATGCTAATAGCCTAGTAGCTTATTAGCATACCATGTGCTAATGAGCCCCTGCAGCTCTTTTTCGACGAAAAGACCCCTGTTTGGAACCAACATATCTTTAAGGATTACCTCCTCCCATATGAACTTACCCAACCACTGCAGGCATCTTCTGAGATCATGATTTGGTTTCCCCCACTTTTTGAGTCTAGATGGGTGGCAACCCAAGTCAGGGTCTTCTTGGTTGTGGCACCAAGAACATGGAACTCCCTCCCCAGGGGCATTTATCCCTTTCTGTCACCATCTTTCTCCAGTAGGTGAAAACTTCATTGCATCACCTGCTTTCCCTTGGTGATCCCTACTTTCCTTCCTTGTGATTTTTTTTTGCATTTGTGTGTGTGCGCACACACGTTATGTGTGCCCGTGCCTGGAAGTCATGGCGAACTCTGACGACTCCCATTGGGGGCATGGCGGACGTTCAGAGAAGCGGCTTGGTAGCCTGCCTCTGCTTCCTGGCCCTGGCATTCTTTGGAGGTCTCCCCTCCAAATACTTGCCAGGGCGGGCCCTGGTTAGTTTCTGAGATCTGATGAGATCGGGCTTGCCTGGGCTATCTGGGTCAGGGCCCTTCCTTGTGTTTTCATTTGCTCTCTTAGGTTTTATATAAGTACAAGTGTGGGCCCATGAGATTCACAGGGGGAGGGGAGAAGAGGGAATTCCCTCCCCACTTTCTCACTGAGTCCATCATGGTTCCTGGGCTCCTTTGATGAACACTGGAGGTAAGTGCTTTCTCTGGTCTTGCGCAGAGAACACAATTTTAATTTGGAGGGAATTAAACCCCCTGTGTATTTTTTGTTTAAGATTTCAGATTTTTCTGCAAGCTTTGGGGGGTTACTACAGTTTGCAGAAAAATCTGTTCTGGGTAAGTGTGCCCCTGATCTCCAGATTTAGGTATCCACAGATGGGGGCTACAGTTGAGAAACAGCTATATAGATCTTAGTTCTGGTTTTGACCGTTTTTATGGCGATTGTCCTCATTGTTACCTCTCTTGAGCAGAAAGGCAAGATACAAATGTTAATAAAAATAAAGGTCCACTGGGCATGCAGAACTAGTGGTGCAGGGGTTTTTTGGGGGTTGGGGGAACTGGCTAGTATTTTGACAATGTAGTATGTAGATTAACATAGCCCTGAGCTGCCATTAAAGGCGTGGATTTACTCTGTGGCAAGAACTCCTTAACCCTGCCAGATGGCTGGCAGTTCTCCTTAATTCAGATCACAGCATGGCTGCGCATATTTCAAAGACTGTTTTTGCTCTTTCGGTATGTTAAAAAAAACCTTTAATAATGTTGCTGCTGTTCAAATGTGCTGGTTTTTCTTGAGAAAAAAAAAACATTTCAAACCTGCCTTCCAGTTATTCCTAGATCTTCAGACAGTTGTCCTTAATTGACATGGGCCATTTGGGAGAGAGATGTTGTGTGGAATATTCATACCACGTCTGGCACTAATTATCACTTTACTGTTGGGCATATGCATTCGGCTCTCTGGAAAGCCACACGTGCTGTGTAACTGGGATTCAAATGGTCTCTCTTCTGTTTGCACATCACTGTGTTTTTTGTGCATAATTGTTAGCAAAGCATGGAAATAATTTGGAATCCAAGGAAACTTTGGAGTGTAAAAGAGTTATCTCCACCATTCTCCTCTTTTCCCATCATTGGATTAGCTCGCTATCCCTGTTCATATGTTAACAGTGAATGCATGTACATCTGTTTGCAAGGAAGAGCCAACACGTGTTCCTTTTACAAACAAAAACACACACACAGGAACGCATGAAGCTGCCTTCTACTGAATCAGAACATTGGCTCATTGTGGTCAGTATTATCTATGCAGACTGGCAGCAGCTCTCCAGGGTCTCAGGCAGAGGTATCTCCCATCACCTACTGCCTGATTCTTTTAACTGGAGCTGCCAGGGATTGAACCTGGGACCTTCTACAGGCAAAGCAGAAGCTCTGCCACTGAGCCACAGCCCCTCCCCAGGTACTGGGACCTATACCTGGATAAGTGTAGGATTTAAATCACATGTCAAGCTCTGTATATGTTGAACATAACTTGAGAAATACTGAATGCACATATACTGGAAAATCAAGTGTACACACAGTATGCCCATTGTACGTGCATTCATTGTAACTCGTGAACAGGGCCTGTGTCTTGATAGTTCCCTGACAACACGTTGCAGCATGCAAACAGTGAGGTTTTTTTTAAAACGGTTGCATCAGACAATCTGTGTGCCGCAAATAGAAGTACAGTTAGGGTTGCCAGGTTTCTCTGGCCGCTGATGGAGATTTGGGGATGGAGTCTGGGGAAGACAGGATCCTCAGTGGGGTATGCCATAGCATCTGTCCTTCAAAGTATCACCTTTCTCCAGATGAAGTGATCTCTGTAGTCTGCAGATGAGCTGTACTTCCAAGGGATCCCCAGTTCCCACCTGGTGGCTGGCATCTCCAGGGACAGTTGCTGTCATTCAGTGAGCAAACCTGGGCTATGACTGGAGGCAGAAGTGTTGAGTCCTCTGAACCTCTGCCGCTCACCCCGCACCTATGTCATAGCGCTGCCACTGCCCTCATCCAGGAGGAGATAACCTTCCTTTTCTTTCTGCTGTCTTTTAAAATATTACATCAAGCCACACATGACCCTGTAGGCTTCCGGAACTCTTGCAAGACGCTGTCCTCTTGTGGGAGTTTGGACACTCATTTTGGTTACCCTCGCAACCAGAATTGGTGGCTGCACTCATCATCAGAAGGAATCTTGAGAGAATTTGGGAACTGGGATGGTTGCTGTGCTGCTCTTAAAGAGGCCCGGGGGAGGGAGAAAGTAAGCAGAGTTATCTGCTCTGATGGGGGGGGAGGTGAGAGGGATGGGAGATAGTTGCCCCCTGCTTAAACTTGGTGCCTGAGGAACCTTTGGATTTCAGCTGAACATCCTTTTTGGGAGAGTGAAAAAAATGAAAGGTTTAACCCCTCCCTCTCCCAGAATGTGCTGGCTACATTATTTACATCCTGGTAACTAATGACAACTAATGCATTTGTAACTAATGGTAACCTATCTCGTTATATATGTACATATATAAAAATAATGTGTTACATCCAACATTTGGTGAGCTTGAGTGTGTATCTTTGAGATCATTCACGTCATCCCTCTCCTCATGGGAAGTGAGTTTTAAGTCTTATATTTGGTTGAGGACTTGAGAATTGAAATGCTCGGAATAAGTGCCAAGAATGAAAGTATTTACGTAACATTTTTTAATTACTGCAAATATGTTTTGTCAACCCCTCCCCCCCAAAAAAAACCCCCCACCAACAACCAGATCCAGATTGCTTAAAAAGTAGAAGGGATTTGCAACTCAATTTGAATGTATTTAGAGGTGAAGCAGCTTGGGTAATGATTCTTTAAAGTACTGAAAGCTAGAAATCTTCTCCTTATTAATTTGCCTTTTGCAGAATTATGGGATCTGCTACAGTTTTAAGAGCTGTAGGGGTTAGCTACCAGTTCCGATCCTGAACTGAAAATGTTTGATTTGTTTATTGTATATCAGACCTCAATAATGCCATTTTAAATTTTGTTCAACGGCAATGCTAGGTTAGGGATTTTTTTCAGTTTGCATGTTCTGAAGTATAAAAATGCTCTATTCTCCTCTGGGGAAAGGGGCTATTGCAGTGTCTAGGAGCTGCAGTCAGCATCTGCTCTAGAGAAAAAGAATAGTTGGTTTTTATACCCCGCTTTTCTCTTCCCTGAGGAGTTTCAAAGCAGCTTACAGTTGCCTTTCCCTTCCTCTCTCCACAACAGGCACCTTGTGAAGTAGGTGGGGCTGAGGAAGTTCTGAGAGAACTGTGACTGGCCCAAGATCACCCCAACTGGCTGCATGTGGAGGAGGAGTGGGGAATCAAACCCAGTTCTCCAGATTAGAGGCTGCTGCTCTTAACCATTACACCACACGGGGCTCTCATCATGTAGAAGCTGATACATGCCTTTCTGTCACTGGGGTCTCATCCATGGTTGAGACATTGGGAGCGAGTCATGGCGCCATACTCTTGCTCTGTGGCCTTCTCCTTGCCAGCTGTAACTATGGTTAAACGGTTATGCTGGCACTGACCTTAACTATGAACCATTCTTAATTAAGGGCAAGAAACCATCTTCAAATCCTGGTTTCCAATCTGAGTGGGTCCAGTTACAGCACAGCACTTTGAGATTTTTTTTTGAAATGGCTGATCATGTAGAGTCCTTTACAGCCATACGTACTGGGGGTCCACAAACTGTGCATTACACTACCTGATACATGTGGTCACTATGGTATGTGAACACAGGGGCAGCTTTCTGCTTGTGCACAAAGCTTTGGTACGTGCTAAGTGTTGACTGGATTTGTCAGGGTTTCCACTTGCATGGACTAGGGGCTATATGAGCACGCAAAATACATTGCCGCCGTTCACACAACTGCATGTATTGGAATACACATGGTTGCTGGGCTCACTGTAAACACAAATGTAATGTCTGAAAATGTCCCACTTCCACTCCTTTGGGACCCAAACCCCTTTATTAGCAACTCTGCCTAGAGAAATCGTATAACCTTTGAATCTAGTTGACCAGGACTCTGAAATGGTGCTTGTCAGAAATTTTTCTGAGAAGGAGGTTTTAAGATGTCAGTTTTTCAGATCTTGAACTAGGCCTCCCACCATCCTGGGTAGTTTGTTCACCAAGGAGTCCCTGGGAAGGCCGTGCCACAGTGTTGGACTTCAAGCTCAAGTGCTGCCTTGTTAATTCCCTGCAACCTTGCTAGAAGGGCAAGACTCTAGGAATCCTTGAGCCCTGCCAGGAGATAGAAAGGCTCACTTTACGTTCTTGATTCCAGTAGATCAACATCTGCCTTCCCTGGGAGCTCTCCCAGGTCCTGAAGGGAACCAAGTGTGATGCTGCTTTTCAGAAATCTGTAATCTGCTTGCTTCTTGTGTTGTTTTGGCTGGGCCTAATAAAAGGTACTGCATTCGAGGGGGATTTTGCTTTGAGCCAATGCAGCAACTGGCTTGCACTTTATTTCAGGGGATGCTTAGAATTTCATAGTGCCTAAAAGCTATCGCTCAGTTCTGCAGTCTTCGGAGGTGCAGTCTTCGGAGGTGGGTATTGTTAAGTTACATATGCTCGGTGAACACTCTACCAAAATGTCTGCAATTCAGAACTCCTGGAATGTACGTCTATGATGGGATTGCTTTGGATCTCCTAGCTCTTTCTCTGATGGGATCTTACCCTCCTTTTGTGGGCTTGGAAAGAAGATCAGCAGCCTACTTAGCTGCTCACCGGATGAATATTCTACTGCTTAAGAGCAGGTGATCTAATTCTGGGTTACCCACAGATCAGGCGGCATCTTTGTTGTTCTGGGGAGAAAATAAAATGGAAGCTTCCCCAAGAAAAACATAAGAAATTGGTAGCTGATCAGGTTTGTCTAACATCCTACAGAACTCCCAGGTCCTTTTACAACAAGGACCTGCAACCTTTTACAGTTAAAGAGCCAAACTACATCAAAATTCAAGGCAAGAGGTCAACAAAGAGCTGGTCTAACGAAGGCCAGTGGTGTAAACTATGCAATTTAAACATTACCGATAATTGACATATGGATTAATAATCTCTAACGTTTTTGCAGCCCGAACACTAGTTTTGTTGAGAGTCCTCTATTAGGAAATGGCACACAGGAGGTCTCACAGTCTCTCTTATATATAATTGCCGAATGGTAGTGGCTTCTGGCCTATGGGGTGGCGAGATTGCATGCGCTCCCTCAGCCGTTGGCCTGCCGGCTGCCAGTCAAGACTACTGGCGTGCCATTGGCCGGGTGTGCTCCTCTTCCCCGCCCACTCCCCTGTCAGGCACTGTTCTCTGTCAGAATCTCTGTGACTAACACAGTTCTCTTGCTTAGCTCCTGAGTGTGGGACAAAGGTTTCCCTCAGTGGCTGTTGTGAGGACTCATAGGGTTGCCAGTTCCAGGTAAGGAAGCCAGTTTAAGGAAGCCAGAGTTTGGGGAGGGGAGGCCTCAGCTGAGTAGAATGCCATAGAGACCACCAGCCAAAGCATTCTAACTTCTCCCTCAGTGGCTCTTGGTAGGCAACCAAGCTTGGTTCTGCCAATAAAGAGACAAAGGAACAAAACCCTTTCTACGGCTCTGTGAAAAACTCATTGGGCCCAGTCCTGAGTATGGTTGCCAGCTCCAGGCTTGGAAATTCCCGATGAGTCCCCCCCAAAAAAACGCTGCCCTCCACAGGACCCACCCCCCAAATCTCCTACTCAGAGCTGGGAAGCCTACTTTCCCTTCAGTGCCTGCTGCTGGTCAACCAAGCTTGGTTTCTGTCAGTAAAAGGCCCTTTCCACACCTATTTGGGCATTGGGAGAAAACTCATTGTGTCCTTCTACCCTGCTGACAGGCCCCTCCCCCCATGACAGCCAAGGCTTCAGAGCACTAGGTGGAAAATTCCTGGAGATTTGAGGGATGGAGCCTAGAAAGAGTGAGGTTTGAGGAGCGATGGGACTGAGGTACAGTACCATAGACTGTCCTCCAAACCAGCCATTCCCTGATGGGGAACCACTGTTGCCAAAATCCAGCTGACGGTTGGAGATCACGCAGAATTCCAACTGGTCTCCAGATGGCATTGATTCAGTTCCCCTGGAGAAAATGGTGGACTCTGTGTCCTTATACCTTGCTGAGTTGGCTGACGGTTGGAGATCACGCAGAATTCCAACTGGTCTCCAGATGGCATTGATCAGTTCCCCTGGAGAAAATGGTTGACTGTGTCCTTATACCTTGCTGAGTCCCATATGACAGCCAAAGTTATGTGGCAGCCAGGGCTTCAGAGCACAGTGGGGGATGCTGATGAGGGGGAGATGGAAAGCTGTTCAATGAGGGGGAAATGAAGGTAGGTTGATGCTTGCCTGGGAAGTAGATAGGGTTGCCAACTCCAGGTGGGAAAATCCTGGAGATTTGAGAGATGGAGCC